TGATCTCACGGTTTGTGGGTTCAAGCCTCGTGTCAGGCTCTGGGCTGACGCCTTACTCAGAGCCTGGAGGCTGCTTCAGATTCTGTGTCTCCTTCTCTCTCTGCCCCTCCCCTGCTCGTGCTCTGTCTCACTCTGTCTCTCAAAAATAAATAAATATTTTAAAAATCGATATATACATTGCTTCTTCAACTCAACTGAACACCAAGCCTGTGTCCTAGCAAAGGGGCCTTCCCAGGAAGAATCATGTACCTTTCAGCAGACTAGGATTCCTGGGGAATTACCCTTCCAAGGCAAGTGTTCTATCCAGAGGCTACAGTCATAACCTTTTATTCTGGGCCAATAGGGCCCATGGGCTCCCTGCGCTCAGCCGCTGTCCACTTGCCCGTCTTAAGTAATTTGAAGATAAGTAAAAATGAGGGAGCTGGCAGAGGAGGGGGCGGAATTATAGTCTTTCCAGAGCCCTCGGTTGACACCAGCAAAATAGGGGTCAATTCTGGCTCCACCCCAGACCAAGCTGAGCTTTCCAAAGAAGATGGAATTTCAGAGGGAAACAGAGGCTGGTCCTTAAAGCATCCTCTCCTAAATTTCCTCCTGAGGTCCTATTCCAGGAGAGCTCTTGACACAGCATTAGATACTCCATAAGCGCGCGTTATTATTACTGTGTCTCTAGTCTGATGTCCCAGAAGTGTTTCTGTAAACAACTTCCCAGACTCTCTCTCCCCGGGTCAGCCACTCACCCTCAATGGCATAGATCTTCTTTTGCAGCTCAGTGAACAGATCTTTAAGCTTCTCGAACGTGGCCAGAATCTTTACAAACTCCTTTGCAGGTTTTGAGGCAAACTTGTGGAGCGTTTCCTGACTTTCCTTGGTTTCAAAATGCTTTCCGATCTGTGAGGGAGTAAAGAGTGGAGAGCTGGCATTCCCAGAATCACAGACCAATTTTCTAATATTTTCACAAAGCCCTGGCCCCAAGGAGAAAGGGGAGTGGGGGTTCAGGAACAGGAGAGGAAAGAGGGGACAAGCCAGGGGCCAGGGCCCGTACCCCAATGATGTAGCGGATGATGTCTTTGGCTGAGTCAATGTTCTGATCTGAGTCAGTGGCTTCCCCGTCAGTGATGATGATAAGCACTTTGGTGGCATCTGGCCGGGCCCCCCGGTCTTGCCGGAACACCTTTTCCCTGTGTCCAGGAAGGCGGGCGATGTGAAAGACTCCTCCAGATCATGGTCTCCCTGACTCATCCCGCTCATTAAGTCACTGTCCTGCTGATTATGCAAAAGCCCTTCTCCCATCCCCCAGGCAGGTATTCCCAGCCTTCAAAGTTCTCTTCTGAACCGCCTACCTAACCCTACCTCGCCCTTGCTGCCACACCTCTCCTCCTGACCCTGCTCTTCCACAGAATTCTGGGCGGCCAGGGGGCTGTCCCCACAGCCCATGGGCAGCGACAGGGAGGCTTTCTGAGGAGCTATCTGGGCTTCCTACGCTCCAGTTCAACTACATGCAACTACTCTTTCACCAGTTAGACATGCTGGGGATCCAGGTGAGATTTCAGTGCGGAAAACGGGCTCCATGGCTGGAGAAAACTGGGAAGTCACTTTTCCAGAGCAAGCTAATCTAGCCCCTCCTATCCACCCTGCCTCCCCCACCATCGCCAGGCCACCTGTAGACCTCCGCTACAGCAAGTCTCCCAGGGGACTGAAGTAACTTGTTTCCGTGTCAGTTTTCCCCAAACCGCGAGTTCCTCAAGGAAGGACCACGTCTGATTTGCTTCTGTATCCCTGGCTCCTGACAGAGTAGGCACTCAGTGCATGTGACATAAAAGGAGGACGGGAGTACTGAATGTCGGACAGGCCAAGGCTCCAAAGTCCCACCTGTCCACAGCCTCCTTCTGAAGCAAGAGAGGGTGCCCACGGCTTCTGTTGGGACAGCAGCTCTATGTGTACCATCTGATCCTTCCCTCCCCACCCCACAGCCAACAGAGATGGACAATTAACCCAAGAGTAGCAGGTCTACAACCCCTGACTTATGACATGACCTGCTTTGGGAGCAGAGGCTCAAAGTCACACAGGGGGGCTGCGGCAGCAGGTGGAGGAGAGACGCAGAGAGAAGGGCAGGAAAGCCCCCTGGAAGCTTTAGAATGGAGGAGCTCTGACAGGCAGGGCTGAGACCCCTGTTCTATCTTGGATGCAAACTGTTTCCCCAAACTCTGTCCACACGGACATGGCCTCTCATGGCTGTTCATGGATTTCCACCCAGGTTTCAAATTTTTTAAAATGTTTATTTATTTTTGAGAGAGAGAGAGAGCGAGCGAGCAAGCACACGTGTGAGTAAGTGAGCAGGGGAGGGGAAGAGAGAGAGGGAGACACAGAATCCAAAGCAGGCTCCAGGCTCTAAGCTGTCAGCACAGAGCCCGACGTGGGGCTCAAACTCATGAACCATGAGATCACGACCTAAGCCGAGGTCAGACACTTAACCGACTGGGCCACCCAGGTGCCCTGATTTCCACCCCGGTTTAAACCACCATCACCTCTCATCTGGATTTTGCGGTAGCCTCCTACCTGGCCTCCCTGCTCCCATCCTTGCCCCCTCCACAGGCTAATAGCAGCCAGAGGGATCCTTTTAAAAACATAAATCAGATGATCACCCCTCTGCTCAAAACCTCCAATGGACTTGTCTTCTCACTTTGAGGGAAAACCAAAGTCCTCACTATGGTCTCCAAGTCCCTAAGTACTTGGATTCCCAGGTTCTCTCTGACCTCACCTCCTACTACTTCCACCCCTATTTACTTCTCTCCAGCCACACTGGTGTCCTGGTTGTTCTTGGAGCCTCCCAAGCACATTCCCATCTCATGGCCTTTGCTATTCCCTCTGCCTGGGACAGTTTCCTCACCTTCAACGAGTCTTTGCTCACAGGTAACCTTCCCTCATCTTCCTACTGAATATTGCTTGCTTTTTCTTTTTTAATCTTTATTTATTTTTGACAGAAAGAGAGAGAGAGAGACAGAGTGAGAGCAGGGGAGGGAACAGAGAGAGAGGGAGACGCAGAATCCAAAGCAGGCTCCAGGCTCCGAGCTGTTAGCACAGAGCCTGACGCGGGGCTCGAACCCACGAACCGCGAGATCATGACCTGAGCCAAAGTCAGACGCTTAACTGACTGAGCCACCCAGGCGCCCCTGCTTTATTTTTCTTTATAAAACTTACATCTTCTACTATATTATCAAATTTACTTCTTTATCCTATCTGTTGCATTTCTCTCCCCTAATACAATGTTGGACCTCGAGAGGGTAGAAATTTTTGTTTCAATTACTGCTCTATTCCCAGAACCTAGACCTCGGCATACGTGGCCAAAACCAGCCCACAGCTTGTTTCTGTATGGTCCATGTGTAAAAAATGGCTTTTACATGCATATTTTTTAAAAGTTACAAAAACAAACAAAGAAGAATATGCAAGAGATACTAGATGTGGCCAGAAAGCCTAAAATATACTACCCAACTCTTTTCAGAAAAAATTAGCCAAGTCCTGGCCTTGAATACTGCCTGGCACACAGTCAGGTAGTCAAGAAATATTTATAAAATATATTTCTATGGCTGCTCCTTTTTGCTTCTACAGTTGACACCTTTTGGGGTACCTTTCCATCCTATCATGACCTCTTTCTCTAAGAAACTGCCCCCTTCCCACAGAGGTGGGACCCCAGAATCCACATCTGTGCTATGTGACTTTATGCCACAGAGCAGAGCTGGATGGACCCGTGGACACCTAACCCAGGCTCGGCCAATCAGATTTTCTCTCCTGGAAGCTGGAATTTGGGTTGCTCATCCGAACTGAGGAACTGAGGCTGCTATTTTTTCCATGGACATGGCTTGCCACGGACCCACCAAAGCTGTCCATAGACAGGGAAGAATGAAGCAGACAGGACAGGTCAAGTGAGCCCCAGAAGAAAAGAGGTGGAAACACATCTGTAGAGTCTTAAGGACCTGCATCACTTGCATGTGTAACTAATGCAAATTCAACTATACCTGCCCAGCAAAGGAATGAAAATGTGAAAAACAAGCATCATAGCACAGGAGGCCCATGCGGCTCTTTCAATGGATTTGAGTGTGTGCCCAGGGGAGCATGAGATGGAAGATATAATTCTCTTATTCCTCAAATTGCTTCCATGTTTCCACGTTTCCAGTTTTCATAGCCACTTTAATGTTGAAAGATGGGCATTTCTGGCTCAGTCGGTTAAGCGTCGGACTCTTGGTTTTGGCTCAGGTCGTGATCTCATGGTTTCGTGGGTTTGAGCCCCGTGTCGGGCTCTGTGCTGGCAGTGTGGAGCATGTTTGGGATTCTATCTCTTCCTCTCTCTGCCCCTCCCCCATTCTTGCCGTCTCTTTCTCTCAAAATAAATAACTATAGGTCTTAAAAATTTTTTTAATGTTTCTTCATTTTTGAGAGAGAGACAGAACGTGAGAGTGGGTAGGGGGAGAGAGAGGGGGACACAAAATCTGAAGCAGGTTCCAGGCTCCGAGCTGTCAGCACAGAGCCGGATGCGGGGCATGAACTCACAATCTGCAAGATCATGACCTGAGCCAAAGTGGGACGTTTAACTGACTGAGCCACCCAGGTGCCCCAGGAAAGGTATTTTTTTTTTTTTTAATGTTTATTATTTCTGAGAGAGAGAGAGATAGAGCATGAGCAGGGGAGGGGCAGAAAGAAAAGAAGACACAGAATGCGAAGCAGGCTCCAGGCTCTGAGTGTCAGCACAGAAGCCCGATACGGGACTCAAACCCACGAACCATGAGCTCATGACCTGAGCCGAAGTCAGACGCTTAACTGGCTGAGCCACCCAGGCACCCCCAAGATAAGTATTTTTTTAAATATACAATATGGGGGAGCGTGGCTGTCTCAGTTAGTAGAGCATGCAACTCTCAACTGAATTCTCAGGGTTGCTAGTTCAAGCCCCACGATGGATATGGAGCCTACTTTAAAAAAAAATAAATGAAATGAATGAACGAATGAATGCATGAATGAATAAATAAGTACATAAAATAAACAAACAAACAGGCTCCTGGGAGTTGTAGTTTGGTCCGCTTGTGCTGGCACTGCTATTGGCTCGTGCTAGCCTCTGTCTGTCTGTGGGCAAGCGCCACTGTGGTGTTCAAGAACAGCCCGTGGAAGAATCATTTGAAGAGGTGGTGATGAAGGTCATACAACAGGCGTGGACATGTTTGGATTTCCAACAGCTACCCTGCTGGATTGCCGTGGCAGATATGCCCCAAATGTAACATTTTTCAGTGCACATGAGGACAGAAGCCCAACACAAACATGTTCACTCCGAGGCCGCAGGATTCTGAAAGGGATTTCCAGAACGCTTTCAGAAGAGAGAAGCTGGAACAAAAATCCCCAGAGTCAAAGACACTACAGGAAGATTCACCTGGAGTGAAGCAGAGGGTCTGTGAATGTCAGGGCTGTGGAAAATCCTTCAGGCAAAAAGGCAGTCTAACCTTGCGTGAGAGAATCCACACTGGTCAAAAGCCCTTTGAGTGGACCCACTGTGGATAAAGCTTCAGGGGCAAAGGCAATCTTGTCACATATCAGCAAAAACACACAGGAGAGAAGCCCTATCAGTGCAAGGAGTGTGGGACAAACTTTAGTCAATGAGGTAGTCTGGCCGTTCATGAAAAACTCTACACTGGACCGAAACCCTATGAGTGTGCTATTTGTCAGAGAAACTTCAGGAATCAAAGTAACCTTGCTGTTCAAAGAAGAGTTCACAGCAGTGAAAACCCCTATAGATGTGATCAGTGTAGAAAAGCCTTCAGTCAGAAAGGAAGCTGAATTGTTCACATCAGAGTCCACACGGGCCTGAAACCCTATGCTGCATACAATGCAGGAAGAGTTTCTACACCAGGAGGAATCGTATCTTGCAAGGCAAAACACACACAGGAGAGATACCCTATCTGTGTGGCCAGTGTGGGAAAAGCTTCACTCAGAGAGGGAGTCTGGCTGTGCACCAGCAAAGCCATCCACAAAGACTCACCCTTTGATCACTCTCGTCACAGGAAGTTCTCTTCATGAATTAAAAGTACAAAAACCTTCAGATCAAGCAACTTATCCAATTCTATGGGATGAACGGTGACTCCTTCAGAAAGACCATCATGGGGTAGGGCAAACTGATTTTTCTCCTTTCCCCCAAATAAGTATGAAAAGTAAATGTCTTGTTTATTGCCCTTAACAATAACAACAAAATAAATAAAATACATAATATGGCCCTTCAACACACTCCAGCTACATTCATCTAAGCCTCACTTTAAACACAGCCATCTGGCATCTCTTTCTGTCCGTGCGTCCTGTCCCTGTGCTTTAATAAAACCACCTTTTTTGCACCAAAAACAACAACAACAATAACAATAAAGCCATCTGGTCCAACTCTGGGGGAAAAAAACTTCTATAGTAGATTTAGGAAATCAGGATATGCTAGTTTCCAACGTGGACTTGAATATGTCAAATTTTAGAACAGTTCAAGGAATTCTTCAAGGACAATTTTGACTATCAGAGATTTTTGTTCACACACTGACTCCAGAAGCCGATCACCATCTATGATGGGACTCTACCATGGCTTCCATGTTCACAATCACTTTCCAAGTCTTAATTCTAGTCCCTCATGAGGTCTGGCCATACTCCCTGCCCCAAAGGTTTATGAGCTATCCCTGCATCCTCCCAAGAACTGCCCTGGGGGATTTAGTTAGTATAAAGTAGGTTTCTGTTACTTACAATTAGAAGAAACTGTACTAAAATAGCTCCACTTGAATTCTTCCAATAACCCGCCCCTTGCTGAGCCCACCTGTTGAGTTCCTACACCCTGAAACCTGAAGAAGCCAACAAAGAGTGGGCTCTCTCCTGCACAAGGGGACTCACGTGACATAGTTGATGGCGTGAAAGGTATTGGTCAACAGCCGCATATGTTTTACTTTGCCCAGCAGAGCATCAGGGTTCTTCACCCTAACATAATCCAAGAAATCAAATTCTGTTTTGCATTCCGTGGAAAACTGAACAGCAGCAAACTAGAAAAAGAAGAAATGAAATGGCATTACATATCCCTTCCCACTTGTCTGTTCCAATCTATTTCTTTTATTTAATTAATTAACTAATTAATTAATTTTAATTTACATCCAAGTTAGTTAGCATCTAGTGCAACAATGATTTCAGGAGTAGATTCCTTAGTGCCGCTTACCCATTTAGCCCATCCCCCCTCCCACACCCCCTCCAGCAACCCTCAGTTTGTTCTCCATATTTAAGAGTCTCTTAAGTTTTGTCCCCCTCCCTGTTTTTATATTATTTTTGCTTCTCTTCCCTTATGCTCATCTGTTTTGTATCTTAAATTCCTCATGTGAGTGAAGTCATATGATATTGGTCTTTCTCTAATTTTGCTTAGCATAATACCCTCTAGTTCCATCCACGTCGTTGCAAATGGCAAGATTTCATTCTTTTTGATTGCCAAGGAATACTCCAATCTATTTCTTATCCAAGACTTGGGGAACCCAACTCCACATCCCTGCCTCAAAGCATTCTTTTGAAAATGAGGTAATATATACACAAACACAGAAATAAAATTAAATAAGCCTCTGATCCCTTACGTTGTGCTGTCTGCTGAACTCCTATCCTCTGGGTCAGCCTGCCTCACCAGTGGGGATGGCTTCTAGTAACCATATTTGTGCTGAATGACCCTGCTAAACTGACTACAGCTGGTTGGGCCACAGAGAGAGAGCCACTTGACTGAGGCTAGGCCAGTCAGAATCTATTCTCTGGGAATTTGGAATTTGCAGAGGGAGGGGTTGGTTAAGAGGCAAAAAAAAAAACAAAAAACAAAAAACAAAAACAAAAAAAACCCAAAAAAACCCATCCTCCTGAAACCTTCACATGTGAACTTGGGAGCTTTCCACAGTCTCATGTGATCCAAAGAAGCTGAGGGAGCTGGTCTGCAAGAGAGAAGAGGGAAGCAAAAGCCAAAAAGAAACAGAAATGAGAACTAAGGAAAATCCTACAAGCTTTTTACTTCCTGGTTCTTGACTCTTCCAGAGGTCCAGTTACACCGTGGCTTTAGATTCTGGAGACACCTCATGCCAAATTTTTTTTATGCCTTAAGCTAGCTCAAGTAGGCATGTATTGCCTACAAACAGAAAAGCTAATTAATATATTTACCTGGTAGGAAGAGTTGCTGAGTTTCCTCATCACATCCTTCATGAAGTCCAGAATTTTCTGAAATTCATCTTGCTGCAGGCTCATTGAACCATCAAACAGAAATACCAAGTCTACGTTGCCCTTTATACATTCTACAGAGGCCAGACACAAAGGGACTTAATGAAGTGTCTCCATGGGTTGGCCTGCCCATGCTGGTTCCCTCGTATGAGCAACCACTTGGGAGAGATTTTTACCCATTAGATCCCCAGCTCCTTACCCTGATAACCAGGATGACTTTGCAGCACAGGACCCTTCAGATTCTGGTCGAAAAGGTAACACAGGCCACTCAGATAAACATTCTGGTCACATGTCCGAGACAGTCCAGGGTCACAGGCCTGAAGGAAGCAAAGGTTAAAAAAAGAAGGGTTAGGGCTTCCTTTTCCTGTGTGTCTTTTGGGCATCATCAGTAAAGAACAAGAACCTTCAGTCATCATCCCCTATCCTCACTCCCCACATCCAACTGGTTATGCCTAGAGGACAGAGTCTAAACTCTTGAGTTTGGCATTCATATCGTTTACAGTTGAGCACTACCCCACATTTCCAGGCCCTTCTTCTTCCATTCCCAATCACACATTCTGTGTTTAAGCCAAATCACTCACTATTCCCGGAATATACAGTGTTGTTTCTTTCATTTATGACTATCTCTCCTGTCAAGCTGCAATTTTTCTTGAAAGTCAGAGCTCATGTCATCTTTGTATCTCACTCCTCTGACCCCATCAGAACCCAGCACATTGGCTGGCATGTTAATAACAGCTAAGTAAACAAGCTCAAATTAAATACTGGGTAAATATTTCACTCAGCTAGCCTTCTATCTCTCACATACCTGTGTCAGAAGATGCTGCTGGGATGAACTGTAAAGACCAATGGGCTTACAATCAAATGGGAATTTGACTCCAATCCTGGCTCTACCTCTTTAAAACCATGTGACCTTGGGGCACCTGGGTGGCTCAGTTGGTTGAGCATCTGACTCTTGATTTCAGCTCAGGTCATGATCTCGTGCTTTGTGAGTTCGAGCCCCACGTTGGGCTCTGTGTTGACAGTGTGGAGTCTGCTTGGGATTCTCCCTCTCTCCCTGCCTCTCTCTCTCTCTCTCTCTCTCGATAAATAAACTTGATAAAAAATAAAATAAAATAAAACCATGTGACCTTGGCCAAGTCTCTTAACCTCTTTGGTTTTGCTTCTTCATGTGTAAAATGTGTATACTGATCCCTATCTACCCGAGTGTCTCAAGGGTTAAAAAAGATAAAGCAGTGATTCCCAAACGGCAGGCATTTGTGTACCATGGGACAATTTCTGCCATGTGGGTGTCTCAGGCATATTATTATTTATTTGATATTTTATTTACTTTAAATTTACTTTCTTAAAACTTTAGCCTCATCCCAAGCAATTCAATCCAAGAAATCATGAATTTGATGTGTTGTATATTTTTCCTAAAAAAACATTAAATAAAAATGCAACTATAAAACATTAAACACTTGCATACCACCAAAAATCATCTCTGTACATCAGTGGTCACAGATATTTCATATTTGGAAAAAAAATGATATTGGGTCTCAAAAATAACTGGCTCATATTCAATTCTTAATAAACACTGATTGAATCAGAATCTCTCTGATGCTTTTAATCTTCTACAAGATCTTTATTCCATTTTCCTTTCTTCTTCTCAATCTCTCCTTAGTGTCAAGCTTCACTGGCTCTCATATCACACTGTACAAAATTCTTACCAAAAGGCTTCCCTTTGTGGCATCTGTCGCCAGGGTCATTCCCAAGTACTTGGAGGTATAGTTGGAACCTGTAGACACCAGGAGATTGGGCTGGAGGAATTTAGGCAACCCAGGTGTGGTGGGCCAGCCTCAATTTCCCTGGGACACCATTCCTCCCAGTTTTCTCACCAGTTACTCACCATGCAGGCTGACTGGGATGCAGTGGCCAGTGCCTGCCTGGCACTGATAGAGGTTTCCTGTGCTGTTCCCCTCACCTGGAGCTCCTACGACAACCCTGATGAGAAATCTTGCCTGTGAGATTGAGTTGTCCCGTTTTTTACCCACCCACTACCACCCACTGAGGGTTCAGATCCACAAGAATCTCAAAGTAATGCAGCCACTCCCTTTCAGGGAGGCTCCTCAGCTCCTACCCCTTCCCTGTGGAATCCCAGATAAGATAAGCCAATACGTCAAAATTCTGGAAAGTTAAGGATCTTTTTCCATTTATTGCCTAGAAAAACTGAGGTCCAGAGAATGATGTGGGACAATGTCACATTATGAGTTCGTTCAATCAGTCATCAATTCAAATTCAATTCAGTTCATCAGTAGCATCAATTCAGTAGCATATCTACGACGTGCTAGGCTGGGATATACGCTAGGGATGAGGTGGGGGAAAGAGAAGCGAAATCCCTGCTGTCAGGGAGCTCACTGCCTAGTCGGAGCGCCAGTGGGAAATCTAGGAAGCGTTGCATAGCCTTTTAGGGGCTGTGATATTTACTCTTCCGTCAGACACTTATGTGGAGCTTTAAAGATGGGCTGTCCTCGTCCTATCTGACGGCCTCGCTTCTGTTTCCGAGAAATCCCACCCCGACTCCGTGAGACGGCAAGACCCTGGGGACCCGCTGGTTCCCCATCTGGCCCACCCGGGGCTGGGGTCCTGGCCGCCTGTCCTGACTCCGCAGGGCAGGGAGGGCCTGGGAGGCAGCTCACCAGTCTCCAACCTGCAGAACGCGGTACCCAAAATGCCTCCCGGCGTGTGGGAACGAGAAGTTTTGCACGTGGCGGACTTCCAGGTTGTAGCTGTAGACCTGGGCTGAGGGAGACGGTGGGGGGGAGGGGGGGAGGTGCGGTCAGCCACTTCCGCTGGCCAGAGACCCCGCACGCGCCCCCAGAGCCACGGGCGCCCATTGGCCGGCGCCCACGTGCCCTAAGTGGGTGGGTCCACCCACAAAACCCTGGCGCTGTCCTCCGCCGCCTCCGCAGCCAGCTGCCTACGCCCCAGAAGGAGCCGGACCTTTCCCCTTGGGCTTCCCCTTTGACTGCCTTGACCCCGGGGAAATTTGGAAGGAGCGACTCCCTACTACCCAGAGCCCATTTGGCCTCCCTGCAAAGAAGGAAGGATGAGAAGGCGGAGGTCCGTGAGATAGTGGCAGATGGAAGGCGCCCCCCAGGCCGTGCGGTTGCCCCATAGCAGGGTGCATCTCCCTACACACCCACTTCTCCCTTGGGCCGCCGGCCCAAGATAATTAGCCTCCGGCCTCCTTCCACAGACTCAGAGTTTCAGGATCCCCTGATTTCTGTGAAGCTGCCTCTCATCTCATGCTCCCTTACTGCCTACGCCACCATGCACCAGTCTCTTCCTTAGCTCTCAGATTCCCCCATGCCACCCCCCCACCCCCCACCCCCCAAGCAGGCTGGGCATCCTCTGCAAGCCCCTAACTGTCCATTCTGGCCCTGCTTTCCTTCCAGGCACCAGGCTTATTTCCATAGCATCCTGGGATAGCAGAGATGCTGCTCGCCATTTGTTCAGGTGAATGGACTGACCCCCAGAGAGGGCAGGCCCAGACCCCAGCCCAGCTCCAGGTACCCATTAGCCATCTGCCTTTTTCTGAGACCTCACTCCACATCTCTACTGCCGCCTGTGTCTCCCTTCTCTGTCTTTTCCTCCATACCTTGCCTCTACTTCGGACTCTCTTTCCTTTCCCCCTTTTCCCTTCAAGATTCCTGATCCTCACATCAGCTAAGGCCATTCCCACCCTTAAAGCCGCTGCTCAGTACTCTAGTTCCACAAAGCCCTGCCCTTCCCCTGGCCACAGACACATGTCCCCTCCGCGACCCTCCCTGTTCCCTTGCCTACCAAAGAAAAGAGGCCCAGACAGCAGCAGCCTCACTACGATGGTGCAGGAATTCATCCTTCCAGCGGCCACAGGGACCTGACCAAGGAAGGCTCCAGGTTCAGAGAGCCCTGGGGATTCGCTGACAACCCAGACAGGGTGAAAGAGGAAAATGACAATGCCCCAGGGCCTCTTGCAGTAGGACTTTCTCACAGAGGCGCCAGCCTGGTGACACTGGGTGGGGGTGAGCCTGTAGGGGTTGTGAAACCGCATGAGTTGAGAGGAAGTGTAACCAGGTTAGAGACATTTCCTGTGCCTGCTTGCATTTTCACATCATCCAGGAGCAGACAACACGGTAGGTAGATGACCACCTCTTCTGCCCAAGGCCTGCTGATCCATTGTTTTTCACCAACACAAACGGAAGACTCTGTAAAGCTCAGTAAAGGACTGGTCAAATAAACTGTGGTACAAACATAATG